ACCAGGGGGAGTTGGCAGTGAAAGAATCCAGCAGAGATATACAACTGTTCTCATTTGGAAACCAGGCACCTCTTCCTCAGGAAGAACAAAACCCTCTAACTAAAGAAATAAAAGAATTGAAACAAAGAATAACTGAGCATCTAGAACAGCACAAAAACAACAGAATAAGGCTACCTGCATTGAAGCTTGTTCCAAAGAAACAGCTAGCACAAGCATTAAAAGATGCAAATACTGCAATATCAAGTATAAGCACCAATTCACTGCAAGAAACAAACCAACTAATGTACAGCACAGCTGCAGTTATAACAGAATACCTGGGATGCAAAATCAACAAAGAAGAAAAACAAACAAACAGTGCACCAGAAAAATGGAAGGTTAGACTAGAAAATAAGATCAGCAAGTTAAGATCACATGCAAGCAAGCTAGAACAGATGAAAGAAAAGAAGCTGAAGAACAAGAAGACCAAAGAATACCTAATCAAGAAATACCACTTAGAAACAAGGAAGATCAAGGAAGCACTGGAAATAATAAAGCAACAAATAACAGCTATAGCCAGGAAAATCAGTAGATATGAAGCTCGAATTGCAAACTATAGGCAGAACCTCCAATTTCAATCCAATCAGAAACGTTTCTACCAATCCATCAATGGAGAAACTGCAAGGAATCAGTCAGTACCTGACAAGGAAGAAACAGTGCAGTTCTGGAAGCAGATATGGGATAACCCAAAGAAATACAACAAGGATGCGGCTTGGTTAAAAGAGGTGGATGCAAATAAAACAGAAGTTGAAATGAAAGAACTAGTAATAACAACAAAAATGGTAGAAAAAAGAGCAAAGAAAATCAAAAATTGGTCAGCACCAGGTGAAGATGAACTGCATGGGTTTTGGTTGAAACATCTAACTGTTATACACCCACTCATTGCCAAGCAGTTCAACAATATACTACAAGGAGGAGAAATTGAAAAGTGGCTAACAACTGGGAAAACCTACCTAATAATGAAAAATCCAGCAAAAGGGGCAACACCAGGTAACTACAGGCCAATTACCTGCTTACCAACAACTTTCAAATTACTAACTGGTGTGGTAGCTGATGCAGTACAACAGCATCTAGTTGAAAACAATCTCTTTCCACCTGAGCAGAAAGGAAACCGCCCCAATAGCAGAGGAACAAAAGATCAACTCCTAATAGACAAAATGATCTTGGAAAACTGCAAGAGAAGGAAGACCAACCTGAATGTGGCATGGATTGACTACAAAAAGGCATTTGACTCTCTGCCACATGATTGGATAATAAAGTGCCTAGAAATAACAGGAGTCAGTAGAAACATCAGAAAATTTGTGCAAAGATCGATGGCACAATGGAAGACACAGTTGCAGATCAATGGTGAGAGCTGGGAGAGGTTAATATCAAGAGAGGAATATTTCAAGGAGATTCATTATCACCATTACTATTTGTTATTGCACTGTTTCCTCTGTCAACAATACTGAATAACTCAGGACATGGCTATCAAACATCAAAAACATCTGCCAGACTATCCCACCTCCTTTATATGGATGATCTGAAGCTGTATGGAAAAACATCATCTGAAATAGAATCGCTGCTCAACACTGTCCGTATATATAGCCAAGATATTGTAATGGAGTTTGGCTTGGACAAATGTGCCACACTTACTATCAAACAAGGAAAAATAGTGAAAACTGAAGGAATCAAGATGCCCCACGAAAATAACATTAAGAGTCTGGATGAGGAAGAGTACTACAAATACTTGGGTATCCTTCAAGCTGACAACATCAAGCACACTGAAGTCAAGAAAAAGATTAGAGGTGAATACATCAAGAGAGTGAAGAAGATCTTAAAATCCAAACTCAATGGAGGAAATACCATAAAGGCAATCAACACCTGGGCAATCCCAGTCATTAGGTACACAGCTGGAATAGTGGACTGGACTCAAGCAGAACTAAAAGCAATGGATAGGCAGACCAGAAAAATAATGACAATGAATCATGCCCTTCATCCACGCAGTGACATTGATAGACTTTATCTACCAAGGCAAATAGGTGGGCGTGGAATGCTACAAGTACATCAGATGGTTGAAGAAGAAAAAATGGCTTTGGAAGAATATCTGAAGAACAATGATGAAGATGCACTGAAATTAGTATATCAGGAAGGCTTACTAACTACTGGAGAGACCAAACTGGCCTTCAAGAAAGACCAAATGAAGAACAGAATAGAGGCATGGGAAGACAAAGCACTACATGGCCGATACATGAAAAAAATAGCTGGGAAAGCAGATAACAATAAAACCTGGCAATGGCTAAGAGCAGGAAAATTGAAGAAAGAGACCGAGGGACTAATTCTGGCTGCACAAGACCAAGCCTTAAGGACAAATGCATACAAAGTCAAAATTGAGAAGACAGTAACAGACAGTAAGTGCCGCCTATGCAAAGAAGCTGAAGAAACAGTGGACCACTTGGTAAGCTGTTGCAAGAAGATTGCACAAACTGATTACAAGAAGCGGCATGACAAAGTAGCAACAATGGTGCATTGGAAGATCTGCAAAAAATATCATTTGCCTGTAAGCAAAAACTGGTGGGATCATAAAATAGAGAAAGTCATAGAAAATGATAAAATTAAACTGCTCTGGGACTTCAGAATTCAAACAGACAAGCACCTGCAACATAACACCCCAGACTTAACAATTGTCGATAAGAAAGACAAAAAAGTCTGGATAGTGGACGTGGCAGTGCCTGGAGACAGCAGAATAGAAGAGAAAGAACTGGAGAAGATAACAAAATACAAAGACCTACAAATAGAAATAGAAAGACTGTGGCAAAAGCAAGCAAGGGTAGTACCAATAGTAATAGGCTCCTTGGGTGCAATCCCAAAACAACTGGAGCACCACTTGAACACCATTGACATTGACAAATTCGCTATTAGTCAATTGCAAAAGGTGGCCTTACTAGGAACTGCTTCCATCCTGCGACGATATCTGTAATACCATCAAACATCCACATCTGCCTATCCCAGGTCCTGGGTAAGGACTCGATAGGTAGACAAAATGCCAAATCCAGTCTGAACATCTGGCTGACTGTGCGATGATCGATAATAATAATAATGTTGGAAGGGACCTTGGAAGTCATCTAGTCCAACCCTCTGCTCAAGCAGGAGACCCTATACCATTTCGGACAAAGGGCTGTCCAGTCTCCTCTTGAAAACCTCCACTGATGAAGGCTCCCCGCCCCCAATTTCTTGTGTCAAGTTCTTCCACTGGTGAATTGTTCTAACTGTCAGGAAATTTCTCCTTAGTTCTAGGTTGCTTCTCTCCTTGATTAGTTTCCATCCGTTGCTTCTTGTCCTGCCTTCAGGTGCTTTGAAGAATAGGTTGACTCCCTCTTCTTTGGGACAGCCCCTGAGATACTGGAACGCTGCTCTCATGTCTCCCAAAGAAGAGGGAGTCAAGCTCTTCTCCAAAGCACCTGAAGGCAGGACAAGAAGCAACGGGTGGAAACTAATCAAGGAGAGAAGCAACCTGGAACTAAGGAGAAATTTCCTGGTAGTGAGAACAATTAACCAATGGAACTCCTTGCCTCCAGAAACGGTGAATGCTCCAACACTGGAAGTTTTTAAGAAGAGACTGGACAGCCATTTGTCTGGAATGGTATAGGGTTTCCTGCCTGAGCAGGGGATAGGACTAGATGACCTCCAAGGTCCCTTCCAACTTTATTATTATTATTATTATCATCATCATCATCATCTTTTATTCGTTAGACATGAACCTCAGTCAACTGAACATTCAAATTGGCTGGCGCTGATGATTGACACGGGATGCTGCCAGCAGTCTGGGTGTCAACCAGGTACCTCCTTAAAATGTGAGATGTTCTGAGTAGCGCATTTTTTTGTAGCTTTGCTGGAGTTATTGCAGGAAGCTGCAGTTTCTTGATGTATTTTGCAAAAGTTTTGGGACATAGTTCCCAGTGCCCTGATGACCATGGGTATCACTGTTACACATTTCATCCATAATTGCGCAGTTTCGATGGCCAGCTCGCGATATTTTGTAATTTCTCTTTCCAGTTCTTTTTCTTCGACTCTGGCATCTCCTGGTACAGCGATGTCAATCAGGTATACACGTCGGTTCTCTACAACTGCGATATCTGACGTGTTGTGTTCCAAATGTTGATCTGTCTGTATTCGAAAGTCCCACAAGATCTTCACTTTCTCATTCTCAATAACTTTTTCTACCCTATGTTACAACGACTATTATTATTATGGATCATCGCACAGTCACCCAGATGTTCAGACTGGATTTGGCATTTTGTCTACCTATCGAGTCCTTACCCAGGACCTGGGATAGGCAGATGTGGATGTTTGATGGTATTAGAGATATCGTCGCAGGATGGAAGCAGTTCCTAGTAAGGCCGCCTTTTGCAATTGACTAATAGCGAATTTGTCAATGCCAATAGTGTTCAAGTGGTGCTCCAGTTGTTTTGGGATTGCACCCAAAGCGCCTATGACTATTGGTACTACCCTTGCTTGCTTTTGCCACAGTCTTTCTATTTCTATTTGTAGGTCTTTGCATTTTGTTATCTTCTCCAGTTCTCTCTCGTCTATTTTGTTGTCTCCAGGCACTGCCACGTCCACTATCCAGACTTTTTTGTCTTTCTTATCGACAATTGTTAAGTCTGGGGTGTTATGTTGCAGGTGCTTGTCTGTTTGAATTCTGAAGTCCCAGAGCAGTTTAATTTTATCATTTTCTATGACTTTCTCTATTTTATGATCCCACCAGTTTTTGCCTACAGGCAAATGATATTTTTTGCAGATCTTCCAATCTTCTCAATAACTTTTTCTACCCTATGTTCCCACAACTATTATTATTATTATTATTATTATTATTATTATTATTATTATTATTATTATTATTATTATATCCCTTAATTTTTCCAGGCGTGGGCATCCCACCCCATTCAAGCTGCATCGCAGCCGCACAACCGCAATGCACTCACCGAGGCGAAAGTGCCGATTTGCTTGATGTTCTGTTCGTAACTCTGAGAGCTGGTGGGTCTCCCCGGAGTCCGCCTGGAGTACCAGAACGTGTAATTATACTGCAGAGGGTGCTCCGCCGGTCCCGGAACTGCAGCCTGTGTGTGTGACATTCAAACAACTCACTGATCCTAACGTCTTTCTCTAAAGCAGATATTTCTAGAGTTAGGAACACGCCTGTTCCCGCTGGCGCCCTGTGTGAACCAACCGTTTCGCTTCGTTTTCTTCCTGAAATCCCCACCTCTCTTAATAGCTTGAAACAGACCGTTAGTCTGCCAGAAATTGACTACGCTTTTAAGTCAGAGATTAGCGGCGTTTGCTGTCTGCTGGAGTTTCTCCAAATTGGCAGAGGATGAGGCTCCACAGAGGCCTTTTTTGTCTTCCTTAAAAGCAGCTCGTTGCACAAGACCGGTTCACGAACTCTGCTTTACACGCCTTGATGTGCCTCTTGGTTGGAGGCAAACAGATCTTAAAGGAAGCAGGTGGAGTTGAGTTGCTCTGACAAACGCCGCAAAAGGTATTTAAGCAAACCAACTCTGCTCCGTTTTTTAGATTGCCCGAATAGCAAAAGTCAGGAGTACAGCTCCCAATTAATAAAGGGCAAATCAAAAATAGCAATAGCACGTATATACCTTCCTTACATAGGAAGGAAGGAGGTAGAGGGAGGGAGGGAGGAAGGAAGGAAGGAAGGAAGGAAGGAAGGAAGGAAGGAAGGAAGGAAGGAAGGAAGGGAAGGAAGGAAGGAAGGAAGGAAGGAAGGAAGGAAGGAAGGAAGGAAGGAAGCAGGAATGAAAGATGCAAGGAAGAAGAGAGGAAGGAAGGAAGGAAGAAGAAAGGAACAATAGCATACTTATATACAACTCTGCAGTGCTTTTTTTACAGCCCTGTCTGTAAGCAGTTTACAGAGTCAGCCTGTTGCCCCCAACAATCTGGGTCCTCATTTTACCGACCTCGGAAGGATGGAAGGCTGAGTCGACCTTGAGCCAGTCAGGATCGAACTGCTGGCTGTGGGCAGTGAATTAGCCTGCAATACTGCATTGTTAACCATGGCAGGCAGGCAGGCAAAAAGGAGGATGCAAAGAAGAAGAGAGGGAGGCAGAGAGACAGGGAGAGAGAGAGAGAGGGAAGATGCAAAGAAAAAGAGAGGGAGGGAGGGAGGAAGGAATAACAATAGCACTTAGACTTATATACCGCTTCACAGGGCTTTACAGCCCTCTCTAAGTGGTTTTTACAGAGTCAGCCTATTTGCTCCCAACAATCCGGGCACTCATTTGACCGACCTCGGAAGCATGGAAGGCTGAGTCGACCTTGAGCCAGTCAGGATCGAACTGCTGGCAGTGGGCAGAGTCAGCCTACAATACGGCATTCTAACCACCGGGCCACCACGGCTCAAGATCCGTTTTATACTCCTTCCCAAATCACAGGCACAGTAAAAGCTGCTGGAGAGATGCCTTTAAGCAAGGAAAGTTTCCTTTCCACCATAATAATAATGACTTTTTAAAGACAAGGCCTGTTAAAAGTCTGAAATCCCATCTCCCCTGCAGCGGTCCCAAAACAGGCACCTTTACGGGGACGGAGTTTGAGTTTAAATCGGTCTCTGTGGTCCAGCTTTGCGTGCCCTCCCACCCTGTCACAAAGACTAAAAATTAAGATTTCTCTCCACACAAAGTCTCCTCCTTCTCCTCCTCCTCCTCCTGTTCTGCATTCTCGTTGCTCTAATTTTGGGGGTGGGCGCGAGAGCCCCCTGCCTCCACTATAGGTAGCTCTTGACCGACGACCACAACTGAGCCCCAAATTTCCGTCGCTACACGAGACAGCTGTTCAGCAGGTTTTCTCCCATTTTACGACTTTTCTGGCCCTTGTTAAAGGAATCGACTGCAGTTAGTAACAGGGTAGTTAAGTGAAATCTGGCTTGCCTGTTGACTTGGCTCGTCAGAAGGTCGCAAAAGGGGGATCATGTGACCCCCCCCCCCACTGGATGCTGCGACCGTCGTAAATACGAGTCAGTTGCCAAGCATCCACAAGCCGGTGCAAGCCGCCCCATTTGCAGAGCGCATATGCTCACAGCTCCGTTCGCGCGCACGCTCAGCCACATTTGCGTCTGTGCGCATGCCACGCCTAAAGGTGCCTGTCCCTCCCTTTCCCACCAGGCCGCCAACCCAGAAAGGTTGGTGACCCCTGCTCTAGACAGGGGGCCGGGCTAGGAGATCTCTAATATCCCTTCTGGCTCTCTTCTGATAGATTGATTGATTGAAAAGATGGGGACATACCTTCCTCTTGGCACTGCTTTGGGGTTTGTCTTTGTCGTTTTTTTCCTTCTCACCATCTTTCTGTGTGCTGTTCTCTTCATTCTGGTCATGATCGCCGCTGTCGTCATCCTTCAGGCTAGCAAAAAAAGAAAAGAAAAAAAGAATGAAAAAAGCAGCTTGAAAGCGAGAACACCTGCTTTTCCTTCGAGATTAAAAAAAAAAAAAGCCTTTGTGACCGAGTTCGGACTAGGGACGGTTGAATAAGCTGCAGGAGCTATACCAGGGATAGGCAACCTTGGCTCTTTTATGACTCGTGGACTTCAACTCCCAGAATTCCTGAGCCAGCCATGCTGAGGGAAAAGGGAGAGGTTTCCAAGCTGAGCCATGCTGGCTCAGGAATTCTGGGAGTTGAAGTCCCTGAGTCATGAAGGGGCCATAGTTCCCCCATGTTGGCTCAGGAATTCTTGGAGTTGAAGTCCCCGAGTCATGAAGGGGCCATAGTTCCCCCGTGCTGGCTCAGGAATTCTGGGAGTTGAAGTCCACGAGTCATAAAAGAGCCAAGATTGCCAACCCCTGAGCTATACCATTCAAAGTCACTTGGTTGGCTTGGGCAGCTATAAACATTGAATAAATACATACGTTCCCGCGATACGTGGAATCCAAGTCAAAAAATAATAGCTTTGTCTGATGGCCTTAGATATTTTTATGTTATTTTATTTATTTTTAAAAAAGGATTCCTGAGGTGCATTAGAGGGCTTGTTATCCTACACAGCGGGGAAAACACCAAGGCCTCTTTCATCTTCAAACTGTTCGGTCAAATTACCTCCCAACATCAGAAGCTAAATCAATGCCACCGCGGGGAGAAATTGCAGACAGTTCAGTTCTCAAGGCAGAGGGTTCAGTTCTAGCAATCATTTTAGCTACCTGTCCCAGGTTTATCCAAGGCTGCAGTTTATTTCTTTATTTCAGAGGGCAAAACAGAGAGAGGGATGTGACGTGCAGAGCAACAATTATTTTGTGAGAAACCTTTTCCTGGACTAATTTGGGAAGCAGAATTTCCCCCCCCCCCTAGTTATACCAAGCAGCATTCTTATTTTCTCCAAGACAAGAAAACACCCATCACCGTGGAGGGGGGAGTGGAGGGAAAGAGAGAGTATTATTATGATTATTTAGTATAAGTTCCATTTTTATTTACTAAGTGTGGGCCGAGGCATTTACTGCAAGGAGTTAATTTCACACAGGTGACAATTACAGTAGTGGCCAAAATTGTGGAAACCTTTTGGGAAAAGTGTATTTTTCGTGTTTGATGGCTAATAACACCACTTGGTTTTTGGAGTAGTAACCATAAAATGATATATCAATGGAAAGATAATTTAATCAAGAATGTAATGCAACGAAGCTTGTTCAATTCTCTGTACTGTAGTCTATGAAAAGAAGCAGAAAAAGGAAGCACAACTTGCTTAGGTTGATCGCAGGTAGCTTTCCTTCATCCGATTGTAGCCAATGAGCATGAATGTTTAGAGAGCCAATCCGGTGTCCTCTTGTTTTGGCCATGAGCCAATCGGGTCCCAGTTAGGATTCAGTTATCGATGTTATGTATTGAAGCTGAGAGGAGGACATTGGTCAGTGTGTGATGTGATGGCTATCAAGTTGGTTGGGGTTTTTTTGTGTGTGTTCTTTCATTGAGTGATCTTGTAAAACGTCATAAAATTAAAGTGATGGTGCAAAAAGTTGACCGGTCGCCCAGAAAGCGATGCAAAATAGTCCTATTAAGTGACGAAGGCTGCAGTTATAAAGAAATGAGAAGAAAAATGGGTGGAAACTTAACCAAAGGTGGCATTTCGACTGTACTCTTTTCCCAAAAGTTTCCCACAATTTTGGCCACAATTGTGTGTGCATGCCCAAATGGGAAGTCCGGTGGAGTGAAGGGGAAAAAGCTGAGTTGGAATCTCTACTCAGTGAAAGCTTTTTCACTGACCTTCGTAACTTACCTAACAGGACTTTGAGAATGGCAGTGGGAACTATATGTCCTGTATTGAGAGAAACAAGAAGAGTGAATAACAATAACAACTTCCGTTCAAGGAGAGTTTGTTCAGAGGTAAGCTAATTTATTTCCCACAATCCTGACCAGCGGAGTTAAAACTTAAGAGCTTGGTCTTCTTCGAGACAAATTGTTCCATTTCAGCCTCTCTTTTTTCCTCCTCCTTCACCTGACCTGAGAATGCAAACTGAGCTGCTGACTTATCAATTCTTACGGCATTATTTTTTTTAAAATAAAAAAAATCAACAAGCTTCTCCTTTTATCTGTCAACGCTGCTAACATTGGATGTTTTTGCTTTGACAACAGATGGAGATGCAACCATTTTCTTCTTATGTTTTACTCTTAGAGTTAGAGTTAGATGATGTTGGGGGAGGAATGTGCCTGCGAGTTTAGCTAGAGATAACAATACTGGACCTAGCATGAGAACCAAGGTTATTGAAATAAGAAATGATAAGAAATGGCCCGGGCTGGAGAACTGGAGGGAGAACCTGCATTTCAAGCTAATTAGGGAATGTGATTTATGACAGTTAATTGGAGGAGGGAATTATGCTTTGATACTATGTGCTGTGGGGGGGGGGGAATCCAGTTTTTGGTTTCAGCTGTGTTAGTGCAGATGCTATGCTTCTCAAATAAAGATTCTTTAAGGTAAACAATGCCTCGAAGTTCTTTGAAGAGTTTCATCTGTTGGAACCAGGACATTATCATTATCTACAAGACGTGAATGCAGAGGGCAGCATTCTGCAACTGTTACAAGTAGTCCTCAATTTACGGCCATTCGTTTAGGGACCGTTTTCCATACTTATGACCATTGCAGTATCCCCGGGGCTCACGTGATCAAAATCCAGATGCTTGGCAACTTGGTTCACATTTATGACAGAAACCAACTCCCAAGCTCAGAGAACGAACCTTCCCCCTCATAGAAGAGGGAGTCAAGTATCACGTGAAGTGTTAATACCGCTTTACGAGGCCTTGTTAAGGCCACACTTGGAATGCAGCATCCAGTTTTGGCCACTACGATGTAAAAAAGATGCTGAGACTCTAGAAAGAGTGCAGAGAAGAGCAACAAAGATGATCAGGGGACTGGAGGCTAAAACCAGGGCTTTTTTTGTCATAGAACACCCAGAACGGAATTCCGGCACCTTTTTTGGATGGAACCTTGTAGGGTAGGCAAGGCAGGTTGGATAATGTGTGTGATTTCCGGCACCTTGTGTTTTTTTTTTTTTTTTTTTTACAAAAAAAGCACTGGCTAAAATATATAAGGAACGGTTGCTGGAATTGGGTATGTCTAGTTTAACGAAGAGAAGGACGAGCGGGGACATGATAGCAGTGTTCCAATCTCTTAGGGGCTGACACAAAGAAGATGGAGTCAAGCTATTCTTGAAGGCAGGACAAGAAGCAACGGATGAAAACTAACCAAGGAGAGAAGCAATCTGGAACTAAGGAGAAACTTCCTGACAGTGAGAACAATTAACCAGTGGAACGACCTGCCTCCAGAAGCAGTGAATGCTCCAACACTGGAAGTTTTTAAGAAGAGACTGGACAGCCATTTGTCTGAAATGGGATCCCCTTTTTCAACCTTCTGACAAGCCAAGTCAACGGGGAAAAGCCCGGTTCACTTTAACAACCATATTACTAATTTAAAAATGCAGTGATTCACTTAAGGACTGTGGTAAGAAAGGTGGTAAAATGGGGCGAGACTCACTGAATAACTGTCTTGCTTAGCGACATAAATGTTGGGCTCAGCTGTGGTTGTAAATCGAGGAGCAGCTCTACTGAGGGTCACCAAATTTCCAAAAGGTAGGCTGCTAGAGATCGCGCTTCCAATGACGATCTCTGAGGGGTGATTCTCTTAACAGTAGTGGCCAAAATTGTGGAAACCTTTTGGGAAAAGTGTATTTTTTGAGGTTTGATGGCTAATAATACCCCTTTTTTTGGAGCAGTACCATAAAATTATATATCAATGGAAAGATAATTTAATCAGGAATATAAGGCAGCAAAGTCTGTTCAATTATCTGTACTGTATTCTATGAAAAGTTATAGCCAACTAACCAGAAAAAGGAAGCATAACTTGCTTAGGTTGATCTCAGGGAGCTTTCCTTCACCTGATTGTAGCCAATGAGCATGAGTGTTTAGAGAGCCAATTGGGTGTCACCTTGTTTGGCAATGAGCCAATCAGATCACAGTTAGGATTCAGTTATCGATGTTCTATATTGAAGCTGAGAGGAGGACATTGGTCAGTGTGTTATGTGATGGCTATCAAGTTGGTTGGGTTTTTTTTTTTTATGTTCATTTAGTGAGCTTGTAAAACGTCATAAAATTAAAGTGATGGTATAAAGAGTTGACCAGTCGTCCAGAAAGCGATGTAAAATAGTCTTATTAAGTGAAGGCTATAGTTATAAAGAAATTAGGAGAAAAATGGGTGGAAAATTAACCAAAAGTGGCATTTCTACTGTACACTTTTCTCAGCGTGCCTGGCTGAGGAATTCTGGGAGTTGAAGTCCACAAGTCATAAAAGGGCCAAGTTTGAAGACTCCTGCTTTAAAGCATATGCATCCATTCCCAAGCAGGTTTCTGTTTTAAGTGTTAAACCTGAATTTATCTGAACGAGCAAAATATTTTAAAAAAATGTTCTCATCTCTCAATTTGGGTAGCAAATAATACCTCAGGGCAGAAAGCTCGACAACTAAAGACATATCAAATAAATCTTTGTTGTTGGCAGATAAAGGAACTCCGAAAACTTTCTTGAGGAAAGAAAGCGGTGCCTGATCTATCAACATTCTGGCTGCTGAATGTTTTGCTTGCCTTATATACTTTGCCAGGAAAAAAACAACTCAGCCTTAGTCAATGATGGGTAATACAGATGACTATAAAATAAAGCAACCCCTGCAAAGAATAGTTGGGCTAATTATTACGTGGAAGTAGTCGCTTCAACAGGCATAGCTATAAAAATCTCTTTGATACACTATAGTTATTAAGAAGAAAAGGTTCCTTGGCACCTTCAATTTCAATCAGAGTAGAGCTGGAAGGGACCTTGGAGGTCTTCTAGTCCAACCCCCTGCTCAAGCAGAAGACCAGATACCATTCCAGACAAATGGGGCTGTCCAGTCTCTTCTTAAAAACCTCCAGTGATGGAGCACCCACAACTTCTGGAGGCAGGTTGTTCCACCGGTTAATTGTTCTCACTGTTAAGAAATTCCTCCTTAGTTCCAGGTTGCTTCTCTCCTTGATTAGTTTCCATCCGTTGTTTCTTGTCTTGCCTTCTGCTGCTTTGGAAAACCAGTTGACCCCCTCCTCTCAAACACTGGAATACTGCTATCACATCCCCCCCCCCAGCCAAACCCAAATCCTGCAACCATTCTTTATATGTTCATACCTCTTTGTATCTGTTACCCCTTAAGGTATTTAACAAGGACTAGAAAGAAAGCTGTGTTAATGCCAGCCAATATAAATAAGAAAGCTGTGTTAATGCCAGCCAACATAAATAACGAGCCAGAACAATTTCTCATTTAACTTTAGCATGGCTTGGCTTGAGCTCTTTTGCGTCCCCTGCTACCTGGTCCTTGGCTTACCTCAAAAAGTCAGGACCTTGGAAAGGAGACCACGAGGAAACAGCAGAGCTGTCTCAACAGTGCTTTTTTGAAAGGCAACTGGAGTAGGTTTTCCTTTGAGGAAGACATTTGGCTTCTCATCCAAAAAGATTAATCAGTTCTGGCTGGATAGAGAAGGGGGAATGGAAAGATTCGTTGTGACAGGATATAAGGATGGTGGGAGCGGTGGAAGGATAATACTAATACTAAAATAAAGCTGGAAGGAACCTTGGAGGTCTTATAGTCCAATTCCCTGGTCAAGCAGGAAACCCTATACTGTTTCAGACAAATGGCTGTCCAGTCTCTTCTTAAAAACTTTCAGTGTTGGAGCATTTACTGCTTCTGGAGGCAGGCTGTTCCACTGGTTAATTGTTCTCACTGTCAGGAAGTTTCTCCTTAGTTCTAGGTTGCTTCTCTGCTTGATCAATTTCCATCCGTTGCTTCTTGTCCTGTCTTCAGGGGCTTTGGAGAATAGCTTGACTCCCTCTTCTTTGGGGCAGCCCCTGAGATATTGTAAGACTGTTATCATGTCCCCCCTCGTCCTTCTCTTCATTAAACTAGACATACCCAATTCCAGCAACTGTTCCTTGTATGTTTTAGCCTCCAGTCCCCTAATCATCTTTGTTGCTCTTCTCTGCACTCTTTCCAGAGTCTCAACATCTTTTTTACATCGTGGTGCCCAAAACTGGATGCAGTATTCCATGTGTGGCCTTACCAAGGCCTTGTAAAGCGGTATTAATACTTCACATGATCTTGATTCCCTCCCTCTGTTAATGCAGCCCAGCACTGTGTTGGCTTTTTCGGCAGCTGCAACACATGGCTGGCTCCTATTTAAGGGATTGTCCACTAGGACTCCGAGATCCCTCTCACAGTTACTGCTATTGAGCAAAGTACCACCTATACCAGGGGTGTCAAACTTGCAACGTCACATGACATGTCGTGACATATCATGACCTTTTTTTTGCCATTGTTGGTTTCGCTATGGTGCATCCGGCCCGCAGGCTGGCAGTTTGACACCCCTGACCTATACTACACCTGTGCATTTGGTTTTGAAGCTTCTTGGATGAGAAGTGAAATGTCTCCTCCTCCTTCAAGGAAACACACAGTCCAGTTGTCTTTTAACCGAATACCAGAGTTGGAAGGGACCCTGGTGGTCTTCTAGTCCAACCCTCTGCTCGAGAACCCTATATATCATTCCAGATAAATGGCTTTCTAATCTCCAGTGTCTGAGGCCAGTCATTTTGAAAAAAGCACCTTTGAGACAAGCATGACTGGGAATCTCCATAGACAGCAGGGCTGTGGACTCACCCAAGGCCTTCTTTATGGCCAAGAAAATGACAAGGTGTGTGTGTGTTTATGTGTGTGTGTGTGTGTGTGTGTGTTCCCAGAAGATCATTGGCTCTTGGCTGCTGAGGAGGCAGGAGCTACAGAGATCCAGGACTGAAGACCAGGCTTTCTGGCGAGACTTCGTGCCCAAAGAAAAGCTGCCGGGAGCTTGGGAAAATGGATCCTTTCAAACCCTCCAGGGATCCCAAGGCTGCCATGAGCCCCATACGCTTGTGGCCAACCACAGGCAGTCCTCGACTTACAACCAGTCCCTTAATAACTGTTCGAAGTTACAACGGCACTGACTATTTTTCGCACTTATAACCCTTGTAGCATCCCCCCGTGGTCATGTCATTTATATTCGGATGCTCGGCAACTGACTCCTACTTATGACGGTGACAGGGTCACGTGATCACCTCTGGCAATCATCTGGCAAGCAAAGTCCATGAGGAAGCCGGATTCACTTAACAACCCGTGTGACTAAGTTAGCCACTGCAGTGAGTCACTTTTAACAACTGCGGCAAGGAAGGCCGTAACATGGGGCAAACCTCACTCAACGGATTTCTCACCGAGCAACGTAGATTTTGGATTACCTGTATGTCTATGGCAGTGTTTCTCAACCTTGACAATTTTAAGACATGTGGACTTCAGCTCCCAGAATTCCACAGCCAGCTTTGCTGGCAGTGGAATTCTGGAAGTTGAAGTCCACATGTCTTAAAATTATCAAGGTTGAGAAACACTGGTCTATGGAGAATGTCAAGGCTGCCTTCAGCCATCAGCAATGAGAGACAAGCCCCCCCCCCCACTGCCCTTTCTTGGGGTGCTGTTCGAGTGCCCTGCAAGGATTTTCTGATGGTCTCCCCTCCAAGGGCTGCTGGGGAGGAGCTATGGCCCATCATCCCCTGCCTGGGACAGGTCCAGCTCCTTGGCCTCAATACAGGCAGTGCTCAACTTACAACAGTTCTTTTAACGACCGTTCAAAGTCACAACAGCACTGAAAAAAGTGACTTATGACCATTTTTCACAGTTACGACCTTGGCAGCCTCCCCAGGGTCGTCACGTGATCAAAATCCAGGCGCTTGGCAACTGACTCATACTTATGACGGTCGCAGTGTCCCGGCATTTGTGATCCCCTTTTTCGACGCTTCTGGCAAGCAAAGTCCATGGGGGAAGCCGGATTCACTTAACAACCGCGTGACTAAGTTAACAGCCGCAATGATTCGCTTAACGACCGCGGCAAGAAAGGTCGTAAAATGGGGCAAAAGTCACTTAACAAACGTCCTCCACAGAAATGTTGAGCTCCATCGTGGTCCTAAGTCGAGGACTACCTGTACCCTCCCTCCTCCTCCCCCCCTCGCATTTCATAAGCAGCTGCTTAGACATTCCTGCTCGTTTTAGGTCTTTACTTTTGACGATGAGGACTAGAACCTTGGCTCCGGGCTTGAGGAAGCCGAAGCCCCGGAGCCTGTTAGGGGCTCCACTGGCAGTCCCCGAAAAAGTTTTAGAGTCTTCGAGAGTCCAGAGCAAAGGGGTATTTCGGCGAACCCCGCTTTCCCCCCCCCGTTCCTGGGACCAACTGCGCACGCGCCACGGCTCCCCCCCCCCGACCGGGAGGCTCCCTCCGGCCCTGTCCCGCAATGCCGCGGCGTCCCGACTCACTCACGCGTCGAATTTGTTGTTCATCCTCTTCGCTCCGTCACTCGAAGCCGCTTCGCCTCCCCTCAGCCGCACGACTTCCGTTCAGCGGCCTGCCTCTCTTCCATTCGCAGTTTTCCCCCACTTCCGGCTCGGCGGAACCCTTTTCTTGGGCGGCGGCTTCTGCCCGGTCTGAAGAGGCGGTAGGACTCCGGCTGCTGCGAGAGACTTTCTTGACTGTGGCACTCTATGGTTGAGTCCCTCTACGCCTCGTCATCCCTGTGCTGCTTCTCGTAGAGCAGAGAAACAAGAGAAGCACCTCCGTTCCGTGGATAGGCTGTTTCCTGGCTCGCGTGCTTAAAATCTGAGAACCGCCCGTAGAAAGCACGGCCACGCAAAATTCGCGAATGAAGCAGGTTTTGCGCAACGTGGGAAGGGCTGGGCACCTAAAAGGGTAACTATGCCTCCAGAAGTTGAGGATGCTCCATCATTGGAGGCTTTCAGAAAGAGACTGGAGAGCCATTTGTCTGACATGGCATAGAGTCTCCTGCTTGAACAGGGGGTTGGACTAGATGACCTCCAAGATCCCTTCCAACTCTGTGATTCTATGGGGTGCACTTGGCTAGCCTGGACCTTGCGGGCATTAGACCATAGACCAGACATGTCAAACACAAGGCCTGGGGGCCGGATGCAGCCCGCGAAGTGGTTTCATGTGGCCCGCAAAGCCATCCTGGAAACAGTGAGGGAACGGCCCCCACTGCCTTGCCCAGGCTGGTCAGGAGCCAATGCACAATTTTGTGGTGGCCATCTATGCTGAAAAACATTCAGGCTTAGCTCCACAAGGCCATCTAGAAACAGCAAGGGACCAGCTCCTGCCGCATCGGCCCTGCCCTCTGGATGATATGCTGGGAAGGTGTTACCCTTTGTGAGGAATGAAGAAATGCACCATCAGTTGGAAGTGTCCAGCAAATGGCCCTCGCCTACTCTTCCAGTGGACCATGCCTTGGCACTTGCCCCAGTCCCACCCGCTTCTTCCAGAGACCCTCAGATCTGTCCCACTCCTGCCCAGGCCCCCACAGATGCCCTTGATGCGAACAATGTAGAGTTGGCCATGCCCACCCTGTAGGGCACACCCACTCCAGCCACGCTGAGGGAAGTTAGCCCAGAGAAGAAAGTATTAAAAAGGGCAGAAAAATATATTTTTCCTCAAAAGGACTTTTTTAAAAACCAAACCTGGCCCCAAATCTATCTCTCTGCCCCAAGCAAGAGCTAGACCCATACAAATGCAGATGTAAAACCATCAGAGAGTTGAAGCCAGAGCACTCAAGAAGACAAAGAGAAGATCTGCATACCCCACCCAAACTCTAGGAGTCATTAGCCCCATCACCTGGGAAGCAGGATATGATAATAGGATTAAACTACAGATATCAAGGCCTAGACAAACACTCAGAAACAGCCTCAAGGTTCATCCCACAGGAACAGGAAACTATTCCAAACAAGGCTAGAGAGGGTATAAAAACTTACTGCCCATGTGCTCAGCCCTTCTCTCCTCTGCTCTTTCTTGCAAGGACCATCTTCCTGCTTCTTCAATAAACTGTAACCTTCTTCCCAAAGCAGTCTCCATGTTGCTTATTTATTCCCAGCTTGGATGAACCAGGATGAAAACTTACTTCTGACAAAGCCCATCCAATAGGCTGCACCCACCCTGGCCACACTTACCTGGCCCACCAAGGACAACCGCAATGATGATGCGGCCCTCAATGAAATTGAGTTTGACACCCCTGCCATAGACCCGCTTAACCTGGTACCTGAATTAGAATACAGAACTGTTGGAAGGAAAAGTCTTCATCATGGTTCAGTCCAAGCTGGGGATAAACAACATGGTGACTGCAGTTTATTGAAGGTTGCAGTTTATTGAAGAAGAGAGCCAGAAGAAAGATGGCTCTGGTAGAAAAAAGAGTGAACACATGTAGGGAGTGGGTTTTTTATAAGGTGACCAACTGTCCTCCTTTAGGGAGGACAGTCCTCCTTTTGTAAGTTCTGTCCTCCCTCAAAAAGTGTCCTCCTTCATGTCCTCCTTTTCGATATTTGAAGACTAATCTGCAGGGCTTTTTTTTTCCTCATAGAACGGCGTTCTGGCACCTTTTTTTGGATGGTTTTTTTTTCAACTTTTGCATCAGCTGTGCTACTCCCGCTATCGGCTTTCGAAAACCAATTGGAATTGCTGCTGAGCGCGCCAAAGCACCCGGCTGGCAAACTTTGCACATGCAAGTTGTCTGTATTATTGTTGCAATGAATAAAATGTTTCTTTTATTTACGATATTTTTTTCTTCAGTTTATTTGTGTCCTCCTTTTCATTGTAAAAAAGTTGGTCACCTTATTTTTATACCCTCTGGAGCCTTTTGTTTGTGGAGTTGTTCCTGTGGCATGAACTTTGACCTGAGTCTGAGTGTGCCTTTCTGGTATTGTGATAGTGATAGGTTAATCCTATTATGTCCAAAGGTCATATCCTGCTTCCCTGGGGCTGGGGCTGAGGACTCTTAGTTTGGATGGGGTATGTAGATTTTAGGTCTTTGTCTTCTTAATCTCCTAGCTCCCTGGATTTACATCTGCATCTCTATAGTATAGAGCTGGTTTCTGCTTGGGGAAGGGAGACCTGGGGCTATTAAGAAAACTGGGCTTGCTTTCCTGCCTCTTTGAGGAAATATATTTTTCTGCCCTTTTTATATTTCCTTCTCTGGGGGGCTGACTTCCCACAGAACATAAAGGGACCTTGAAGGTCTTCTAGTCCAACCCTGAATTAATTTATATTCTAAGCAGACAGAATATATTTGACTATAACCAGAGGAACAGAGTAACCAAGCATAGCACATTGTACAAATATACCTGCTAGTTGGATTCTTGGTGTTCTTCCTGCAGATATTTTGATATTTGGAGGCTAGATAGCATCACCAGTAGATCTGTAACTTTGGGACATTTGAGCAGCTTAGGGTAAGTTAGACTGTGACACTGCTTAGAAAATAAATAGAAATAAAACTTCCTTGCTGGCAAATGCAGGTAGTTCTTGACTTATGACCACAATGGAGTCCAAAATTTCTGTTGTTAAGCGAGACATTTGTTAAGCGAATTTTGTCCCACTTTACGACCTTTCTTGCCATAGTTGTTAAGGGAATAACTGCAGTTGTTCGGTTAGTAACACGGTTGCTAAGTAAACCTGGCTTCCCTCATTGACTTTGCTTGTATTGAAAGAAAAATCTTCATCGGGGTCCAGTCCAAGCCGGGAATAAACAAAATGGAGACTACTGTAGAAAGAAGATTGTAGTTTATTGAAGAGCAGAGCCAGACAAGCTCTGAGAAAACTGGGTTTTTAATATCTCCTTGGGCTTTTGTGTTTGGAGTTATTCCTGTGGCATGAACTTCGACCTGTGCTTTCCTGGTATTTTAATGGTGGTGAGTTAATCCTATTCCTAAAAGTCATGTCCTGCTTTCCTGGGGTTGGGGCTGATGGCTATGTCCTGTGCTGGATTTTGTGGGTGAGGGGTTGTTGGTTCTAGGGATCTTTGTCTTTCTAATCCCATCAGCCCTAAGTATTCTGGCTCCAGTCTTTCTGAAAGGATGATCAAATCTGCATTTCTACAGACCTGGCCTCTGCTCAGGGAAGAGAGATTTGGGAGTGGGTGGGATTCTGCCTTTCCTTTGGGGAAATATAATATTCTGCCTTTTTAATATTCCCCAAAATATTTCCTTCTGTGGGAGGGGGTGCTGTCTTCCCACACTTGTCAGAAGGTTGCAAAAGGTGATCACATGACTCCAAGACACTGCAGCCGCCATAAAAGCCTTTAATCGTCTTAGTTGCTCTTCTTTGCAGTTTTTCCAAAGTCTCCACATCTTTTTTGTAATGTGGTGACCAAAACTGGATGCAATATTTCAGGTGTGGCCTTGCTAATCTTGTGGAAAACGAAAGGACTCTTGCGAATTCCAGAGGGTTTTTAGCAGAGAGATTTATTGCGCAGGTTCAGAAGCTCTAGCACAGTGGTTCTCAACCTGTGGGTCGGGACCCCATTTGGGGTCGAACGACCATTTCACGGGGGTCGCCAAACAACGCAGTCTGCCATTTTTTCCCCCTTTTCTTTAGCTGTGCTACTCCCTTTTATTCTATTGGCTTTTGAAAGCCAATAGAATAGACTCTCTTGAATAGAGTCTAATTCTATTGACTTTCAAAAGCCAATAGGAATTGTCCAGGATGTCTCTGCCCTGCTGAGCCCGCCAAAAGTCCCATTCTGCAAACGGTGCTGCACCAGTTGAGTAGTCCTCGACTTACGACCGGTTGAGTAGTCCTCGACTTACGACCGGTTGGGGGGGGTCGCGGCATTAAAAAGGTTGAGAACCACTGCTCTAGCAACAAGCAATTCTGAACCCCGAGGGCGGGTTCAGACTTCAATTTTATACTTTCTTTTCCTCAGGAACAAAGTAATACACATTGCAATACACATTGTAATACATTAGGTCCCTTTCTCACAGGTATACCATGGAGAGTTTTGCTACATCCATTGTATCCAAGTACAATGCACATTAGGTTAGTCACATACTGCTAACACAGCACTATTCCAGTAATTATGCAGACACATCATTATTCCAGTGATTGTTAACTTTTCCACATTACTAAGGCTTTATAAAGCAGTACTAATGCTTCACATGATTTTGATTCAATACCTGCGTTTATACAACCAAGGATTGTATTAGGTTTTATTGGCGGCTGCTGCACACTGCTGGCTCATATTTAATTGATCATTTACTAGGACTCCAAAGTCCCTCTCACAGACTTCTTACCTGCTGGTGCCTGGAATATGATTGTCCTCCGGAAGCTGACCTTTATAACAAGGAGGGAGGGAGGGAGGAAGGAAGATGGACAGACCATCATAGAGGTAATTTTAAGAACCAGTTTGATCAAGATTGAGTGAATACAAAAAATAACCCAAATATTTGTTGTTGTTAATTGCGAAGTCGTGTCCGACCCATCGCGACCCCATGGACAACGTTCCTCCAGGTCTTCCTGTCCTCTGCCATCTTCTGGAGTCCATTTAAATTCACGCCTACTGCTTCAGTCACTCCATCCAGCCATCTCATTCTCTGTCTTCCCCTTTTTCTATT